ATCACCACCAATGGGAAAAAAGAAAAGCTCCACCCGTGTCTCTCCATTAATATGAAACTTTATGAACAAAGCCTAAGCCTACTGCCCAGGAGTTCAAAGTTCCTCTGTGGACAAGTCACTCCTGCCCTCCAGAGCATGCCTATTGGAGCAGAGAACTCACAATTTAGAGAACTTTTCTTAGAAACAATGGGTCTTGAAGTGATCACCTACAAACCCTTCAAATGACAGATATGAAGCTGGGGTACCCACCACCCTGACCCTGAACTCACCTGGTGAAGAGTCACCTATGCTACTAATGAGCCATGTGCTCAAAGTCTACTAAAGGAATCTAAAATCAAAGGATCAAAACCAATTGATTGATTTATCTTGTATTGACAGATAAGCAGTGTTGGAGCTAGACTTACAGAGAGCCAGAATGGGAATGACTGAGCTGATTGAATCTGAACTTATTTCTGTGACTTCTAGGTTTAGAGTGTCTCTCCAAGGCAGGATTAATTGGAGAGAGATGAGATGAAGGGAGCATATTGATGATCACCCTACAGAGGGGGATCCATCCCAAAGCCCCTCCTCTATGGTTTCTGTTGAATGTATTCTGCATTTTATGGAAACAAGAATAATCTCTCACTTTTAAGAAGGAGCAGAATAAGCATCACAGTTCTAAGGATGAAGAGGTCAGGACCTAGCAGTGGAGGATGAAGAATATGAGCTAATGAGAAGTCAAATCTGGTCAATCTAAGTGGTTGCAAACCATGCCCTTAGATGGATCTGGAGGAATGCTTCCAAGTAGAATTATCGGAGAGGCAGGGGAGAAACCACCACTAAAGTTTGTTGGAGTCATCCTGGGACTGTGGGTCTGGATGGAATAAAAAGCAGGAAAGAAGAGATTCATCTTCAAGGGGCTCCTGGTTCTGCTTCCCACTCACCATATGTGAGTTCTTCACCCGACTGACATGTTGTAAAAACTAAGACCACAGAAAAGTTAAAGAAAATGCGTCTTCCCTGATGGTGTTTATAGCAGCAATGATTGTAACATCATCACAAGAGTAAATAATAGCTGTGCAAAAGTTGACATGATCCCTCATTGATAAAACATTAACCACAAGAAGCAAAACACACTTGAGATGGCAATTCTTGGTTCTCAACTTGACTATATCTGGAATTAAGGAAACCCAAAAATGGAGAGGACACCTGTGAGAAATTATTCCTTAAGTTGAAGTAGGTAAACATACTTCAAATGGAGGAATTTTGAGGAAGGGAGACACACACCTTTAATCTGGATCTAGAGACTGAGAGATACACCTTTAATTGGGCCACTTCATTTTATTAATCATGACATATTATTCACCACTTACATATTCTCCTCGATGATGATGTCTCAGCTCAATCTTGCTTTAAAAATTATGCTCAGCCTTTGTTTTGTTTTTTCTTTCATTTAATTTTTGTTTTGTTGGATTTGAGAAATTAAACCACTTAAGAAGGACAGCCTCAGCTCCAAGGAAATGTGTTTCCAAGGGTTCCCTTAAACTCCCTGTATATTCCATGCTGCCACTGCAGATAGCCTTTGCCTCCTGAATATAATTGCAGAGGGACAGCCCTGTTTCCAGCTTCAGAATCTGCCCTCTGGGGAGGGAGCAGTATTAGAGGGAGTGGAATTTGAGGGGCTCTTATGAGTTTGTTTTGGTTTTGGAGACAAGATATCATTTGGTATACCCAGATACACCTTTCATACACCCAGCATTCCTGTTGCCTCCATTTCCCAATTCAGGTCTAAGCCATGGAGGACTACTTAGACCATCACATTTATTATATAAGTGGAGAAAACAGTTACTTTGATGTATTTCTAGATGGGATATTGAATTGTTGTTCACAATGACCTCCTGTAAATACGCAATTCTCCTAAGCCAGTCAAGGGTATCTTGAACTGCAGTGGTTAACCAACACAAACACAATGAAAAACAACTTTTAGCCTGACTTGGGTTCTCTCTCTTTTTGTTTCTGAAAGGGAGTGTCCTTTTACAGCATTGGCTGTCTTGGAACTCACTCTATAGACCATGCTGGCTCAAAAATGTAGAGCTCTGTCTACCTCTCTCTTCTGAGGCCTGGGCTTAAATGCTTGACTTCTTAAATCATAAGAGAGATAATAATAAGAGGGTTGTCAAGGGCAGAAAGAAGAGATACTGAAAAAGTATTTTTAGGGGCTGGAGAGATGGCTCAGAGATTAAGAGCACTAACTGTTCTTCCATAGGCCCTGAGTTCAATTCCCAGCAACCACATGGTGGGTAATAACAATCTGTAATGAGATCTGGCACCCTCTTCTGGTCTGCAGGCATACATGCAGGCAGAATACTGTATACTTAATAAATAAAGTTTTTTAAAAAATTAAAAAATAATTTTTTAAATGAGGGGAATGTATGTGGTGGCCCCTATGAATGGTGACATCTCTGGGGCTCTGTGTTGGTCTCTGATATTGGCAGATCTGGCATTCAGCAGCAACTGGAACCAGGTCACTCTTGATAAATGGAAATACATGTTGTTAATTACATGAATAACCCCTATCTCAGCTACCATGGCTACTTTGATCATGGGCCCATGGAACAATAACAAGGATGACTTGGGGAAGAGTTAGACTGTCCGACTAATGGGTCATCCTATCTACTTGATTATTGACCTCCTCCTCTGCTGAAGGCATCTTTCATGGGCATTTACTGGGGACAAAAGGATCTTCACATTCTTTGTTCCTTTGCAGATCTGTCCAAATACTTCTTCCTTAAATGTCTTTCCAACTTTTCATTATTTTTTCCTCTTTGTTTTTATTTTTAATTATGTCATACAATACATCCTGAATAGTCTCCCCTCCCTCCACTCCACATAGGTGTACTACTCCTCTGATTCCCTTGAGAAAAGCACAGGTCTCCTGGGGATATCAAACGAATATAGCATAAGAAGATGGAGTAAGAGTAGGCACAAACCCTCATGTCAAGGCTCAAGGAGCCAACCCAGAAGGAAGAAAAGGTTCCCAAGATGAGACAAAATAGTCAGTGACTCCCCAATCTGCCTTTGTTAGGAGCTGCACAAAAGCCCTGAGCTAAACAACCACAGTATGTATACAGAGTCCTTAGTACAGACCCATGCAGGCTCTGTGATTGCTTCTTCAGTCTCTCTAAAGCCCCATGAGCTGTGTTTAGTTGAATCTGTGGGCTCTGTTCACCTGATGTTTTGATCCCTCCTACCATCCTGCCTTCCAGTCTTCCTTGAGGTTCCCTGTTGCTGTGGGATGGTCTGTATGGCAAATGTGTTGCTGATTAGTCAATAAATAAATCACTGATTGGCCAGTGGCCAGGCAGGAAGTATAGGCAGGACAAGGAGGAGAATAAAGCTGGGAAGTGGAAGGCTGAGTCAGAGAGACACTGCCAGCAGCCACGATGAGAAACAGCATGTGAAGATGCCGGTAAGCCATGAGCCATGTTGCTAGGTATAGATTAATGGAAATGGATTAAGTTAAGCTGTAAGAACAGTTAGCAAGAAGCCTGCCATGGCCATACAGTCTCTGTGTTTACTTGGTCAGGACTGAGTGGCTGTGGGACTGGTGGGTGACAGAGATTTGTCCTGACTGTAGGCCATTCAGGAAAACTCTAGCTACACCCTGTGCTCTGCCTAATGTTTGGCTGTGGATCCCAGTATCTGCTCCCATCAGCTGCTGAAGAAAGCCTGCTGTGGACTGCAGCAGGAATCTTAAAAGGTCTCATTAGTAAAATCAAACCTGGAAGCCAGGTATTGGGGTGACTACTGGAAGATCAGAGAGACAGAACAGCCACAGCTACCTCACTTTGCCAATTCCTCAGCTGATCCTATTTCCTCAGATTAGAAACCTCTGAATCCTCATCCAGAATGAATCTCACCTGAACTGTTGCTAAAAGCCTAAAAGCTTCACCAGCCAAAAGCTTCTAGTTTCTGGTCTTCACGCCTTATATATCTTTCTGCTTTCTGCCAACACTCCCTAGGATTAAAGGCTCACTTTCTGGGATTAAAGGCGTGAGTCACTATGCCAGGCTGTTTCCAATGTGGCCTTGAACTCACAAAGATCCAGAGGAATTTCTGCCTCTGGAATGCTAGGATTAAAGGCGTGAGTGCCACCATTTTCCAGCCTTTGCATCTAGTGGCTGTTCCGTTCTCTGACCCCAGATAAGTTTATTAGGGTGCACAATATTTTGGGGAACACAATACCACCAAAGTTGACGATTGAGCTAGGTACCAATCTATGAACATAAAAAAATTTCATTAGGTTTCCTTCCATTGACGTGTGTGTGTGTGTGTGTGTGTGTGTGTGTGTGTGTGTGTGTGTGTGTGTATGTTTGTGTGTGTGTGTATGTGGCAGTGAAGACACTGAACAAACTTCTGTAGCATGAATCTTTAAAATTCTTATTAATAAAATCAAACCTGAGGCCAGTTATTGGGGTCAATGCTGGTAGATCAGAGAGACAGAACAAGCCACAGCTATCTCACCTTGCCAGTTCCTCAGCTGGTCCTGTTTCCTCAGACTGGAAGCCTCTGAGTCCTCATCCAGAATGAATCTCAGCTGAACTGTGTTGCTCCAAAGCCTGAAAGCTTAACCAGCCAAATGTTTCTAGTTTCTGGTCCTCACGCCTTATATACCTTTCTACTTTCTACCACCACTCCCTGGGATTAAAGGCTTGTTTTCTGGGATTAAAGGCGTGATGAGTCACCATGCCTGTCTTTATCCTTGAACTCATGGATTTCTGCCTCTGGAATGCTAGGATTAAAGGCGTGTGCTATCACTGCCTAACTAGTACCTTTTCTGTTCTCTGACCCCAGATAAGTTTATTAAGGTACACAATATTTTGAGAAACACAGTACCACAAACTTCCACAGCTGAGCAGATCTGGATGGACTAAAATGGCTTTCTATAAACAGAAACAATACTGGAATCCACAAGCTGATTTTAACATTTTTATTCATTTTGTATTTTGGGGAGTTAAGTACTGTCTACAGAGATGTTTGTGCCCATAGAGACAAGAGGAGAACTGTACAAGATCCTCTACGAGAGCAACAATTGCTTTTGCCAACTGAGTCATCTCTCCATTCCCACACACTGAGTTTGGAGAAAATGTCTTCATTCTCTTCCCCTTCTCTTGTATTCAAATATTCAGGTTTGTTTTTTTCCTTTCTGAGTCCTTGACAATGTGTTCTTCTCAGTCCAATCCAGAGAAGTTTCTCCAAAGAAACCCTGTTGTAATGTGCTTGGGGCCAGCAATTAATATGAATTCCAGTTTACAACTCATTGGACAAAAATCAAACCAGTACAGCAACAGGGAAAAGGCTGAGTAGATTGTACCAGAGTCCAGACCTTCCCCTCCCCCAGCCTTCCATTCAACTCATTTCCACCTGTATTAAAGCCTCATCCACCATCTGTCTTTCCCCAGATTCACTATAAATGCTATATAGGTCCCATAGTCTACCCAGGTGTAATCGATAACTACACTGGCCGCTGCTTCTGGGAGACACATGTGGGTCACAGCTGACCAGGTACTAGGGTCGATTTATGGGTTTGAGGGGGGCTGCCGGAAAGAGCGGTGAGCAGAAGCCAGGGAATGGTATGCTTCGGCTACCAAGTGGGGACATGACTCCACCATTGTCTTCCAGCCTGAGGTCTCAGAGACCTCAGAAGCATGTGCTGTAATGAAATCCAGTGCCTGGGTTTTCAGCTGCCCTGCTCTATGGAGGTCAGCCAGGTAGAGATTGTGGGCAGCATTCTCCACAGAGAGGACCCTGCAGAGGGCATCCTCACACATGACCTTCAAACGCTCCAGGCCATACCTGTCAGCAGCTGCCAGCAGAACATCTGCCATGCTGTCGAGGTCTGGTGTTTTTCCTGTATAAATGAAGCCCATCATTGCCTTGAAGACTTGTGGCTCCAGGTCAGGGATCTCAAAGCGGTTCTTTCTGCTCTCCTCCATGTCACGTTCAAACATGGCTCTGAACACTGGAGAGTGAGCTGCTAAGATGGCCTTGTGAGCCTGAAATTCCTGGTCAGCTACCACCAGGCAGCAGTCTGTGAATTGGGAATTCTCCCACAGCTCTCCTAGCTCATCTGCCAATGTGCATCTAGGAACCTGAATTCTTGGCTTTCTGTTCTGGTCAGAGGTGCTCAAAGAGTCGTCAACCATGCTCACCTTGCAGAGGAGGGTGAGCTTGTCATCTGGGAGAAGCCAAGGCACAAACGACAAGAGGAAGTTTCGAAGGATGAACTTTTTAAATCCCAGTTCAACACCTGGTTCAAACCTAGAGACTATAGGTTTGCTCTCACCGTGGGTTGTCTCTCCTTTGGTGCTTAATATGAAGAACTGGAACTTTGCCCAAACAGGACTCTTTAGACAGCTGAGCAACACTAGGTAAACTGACAGGTAATCTGCACTTTCTTCATCCACTCCCTTCGGGTGTACTCTCAAACACCATTTGTCATTGGCTCCTATTGAGAAAGTTGGGCTTGTAATGCTTTCCTGAATTTCCTCCAGAAAAAAACGGAAGTTGCTGATGGTCCAACTGTAGAAAATATTCTGGACGCTGATTTGGGTGTGGTCACATCTCTGGGCTGTCTGGTCCCCTGACATTTCTGGAGGTAGTTTGAAGGTTAAACTGGATCCAAAATGAAGAACTAGCAATTGTTTCCTCTTCACTCTGAGGGATACAATAATAGACATGGTTTAGATTTTTAGTTTCTATTTCTGTTCCATCTTCTATGAGGGTGGAAACTTGGGTCTGAATTTTTCTATCCAGATTTCAATACTAGTTTCAAAGAAGCAAAGAAGACAGTGTAGGCTACTAGGGATTCTTACATCACTCCATTTTTTTCTAGATTGAATCTTAGGTCAATAGGTACCCAGTTTTCATAATTATAAATAACTTTTGAAAATTTGGAACATTTTGTACACTCATATCAAAAATGTTATACTAGGGTTCTGCAGAGTAACAGAACATATATATTCTTTCTGTGTATGAACAAACGGGATTCATTAGAATGACTTAGGGCTGCAGTCCTGCTATTCCCACATTGGCTAGCTGTGAAGGGAAAATCCAAGAATCTAGTACTTACTCAGTCCAGGAGGTTGGATGTGTCCCTGGGTCTTCAGTATATGCTGGAATTCTGAAGGAAAATTCTCTATTGCCGGGGAAGGAATGGACTTGCTACAAGGTGAGGGCAAGCAGGCAAAAGAGCAAGAGCTTCCTCCTTCCATGTCCTTTTATATGCTTCCAACAGAGGGTGTGACCCAATTTAGGGTGTGTCTTCCAGACTCAAGATCTGGATTAAAGGTGTGTGTCTTCAGACCCTGAGATTCGGATTAGATGTTTGTTTCTTTTTACTTTCAAAGTCTGTATTTGAAGTGCATCTACCTACTTCAACTTAAGCAAAACATTTCTCACAGTTTTGCCCTCCATATTAGGATTTTAGTTAATTCCATGTCTAGTTGGTTTGAGAATCAAAAATAACCACCAAAAGTGTATTTTGCTTTCTGTGGTTCATCTTCTGTAAAATAAGGGTTTGTGTCCATTCCACAGAGCTGTTATCTACTCTTACAGGGGTTTTATACTAATTCCTGCCACTAACATGATCCAGGAGAGGTGTTTTCCTTACCCTGTCAGGGGACTCAGGGTTCACAACATGGAGGTCAGGGTGTAAGAATTCATATACGGTGGGTAAGAAGCAGAGCCAGGAGGGAACCCTGAAAGTGACCATCTTTTTTCCTGCCTTTTATTCATCCAGACTCACAGTCCCCAGAATGGCACCACCAACTTTCGATAGTGGTCTCTCCCTCCCCCTCAGACAATCCTCTTTGGAAACACTCTTCCAGATCCAGTTAAGGGTGTGCTAAGTGCTTCTCAACTCCATCATGCTTACTGCCAAGTTTCAGCTTCTTAATACTTCATAATTTCCATCCTTCACTGGTGAGTTCTGTCCTCTTTAAACTTTCAACTTCCATGCTTACTTTGCTAGGACTTCAAAGAGAGATAGGATAACAGGGTGTGGTATGTAAAATGAAAAAAAAAACTTTAAATAAATAAGCAAACCATTTTTAAAAAGTGAGACCACATTCTGATTTCCAAATAGTGCAGAAAATATTCAACAGTTACCAAAGCAGGGGTTTTGAGACTGTTCCCCTTAGAATGTGATCTGTTAAATGCTCCCCACATCTATCATCTCTCTCCAGTTCATCAGGTCTGGAGAGATTCACTAAGCCTAGAAGACATGAAGGTACCTCACTGATTCAATCAACTCAGCAATTCCCAGCCTAGCTCTCCTGAAAGTCTGACTCCAGTGCTGTTCATCCCTCAATACAGAATACATCAATCAACTGGTTTTGATGCCTAAATTTTTGTTTCCTCTTAGGAACCTTTGGCAGGTGACTAACTGGTAACATCAGTGACTGTTCTCCATGTGGGTTTGGGGTCAGAGTGGCAGATACTGCTTCCCTCAAACTCTCTGGTCCTGGGCTTTTGTTTCTGGTGGGGAGACTTTTAGTGATTATGCAATTTTACTAGGTTTGTTTAAAACACATGTCTGACCTTGATTCCATTTTGCTAAGTGGGACCTATTGTTTCTGATTTTGTTTATCTTGGTGCCCTTAGATGGATCTGGAAGACTGTTTCCAAGCAGGATTATCTGAGAGGCAGGGGAAAGACCACCACTAAAGTTTGGTGGAGTCATCCTGGGACTGTGGGTCTGGATGGAATAAAAGGAGGAAAGAATAGAGTCACCTTCAGGGGTTCCTGGCTCTGATTCCACCTTACCATGTATGAGGTCTTCACCTGCCATCCATGTTGTGAAAACTAAGACCACTGACACGTTAAGGAAAACAACCCTTCCCTGATAGTGTTTATAGCAGCAGTCATTGTAATAACATACAAGAGTAAATAATAGCTGTGCAAATGTTGACATGATCCCTTACTGATGGAAGACTAACCACAAGAAATAACACACCCTTGTCATGGCTATTCTTGGTTCTCAACTTGACTCTATCTGAAATAAACAAAACACCAAAATTGAGAGCACACCTGTGAGAAATTATTGCTTAAGTTGAAGTATATAGATCCATGTTAAACAAGGACTTTTGAGGAAGGAAGACACACACCTTTAATCCAGACCTAGAGGCTTGGGGATACACCTTTAATTGGTGCTACTTCATTTTTTAATAACTACATAATATTCACCACTTACATATTCTCCTTGATGATGATGTCTCTGCTAAACTCTTGTTTTAAAAAATTATACTAGACCTTTGTTTTGCTTTCTCTTATATTTAATTTTAGTGTGTTTGGGTTTTTGAGTTTAAGCCACTTAAGAAGGACAGCCTCAACTCAAATGAACTGTTTCCCAGGGCTCCCCTTAAACTCCCTGTGTATTCCAGGCTGCCACTGCAGACTGCCATTGCCTCCTGAATATAATTAAAGAAGGACATCACTGTTTCCAGCCTCCAAATCTGTTCTTTGAGGAGGAGGACATATTTAAGGGTGTGGACCTTGACTGGGGTCTTATTGAGTTTCTTTTGGTTTTGGAGACAAGTACTTGTTTGGTATGCCCAGACACACCTATCAAACATCCAGGATTCCTACTTCCTCTGTTTCCCAATGCAAGCCTGAGCCAAAGAAGGAAGATTAAATTATACATTCATTACATATATGGAGGAAATATAGTTAATTTGACCTATTTCTAGACATTTTTCACAATGACCTTCCTGCATATAAGCAATCCTCCTAAGCCTGTCCCAAGAGTATCTTGAGCTGTATGGGTTAACCATACACACAATGAAAAGTAACTTTCAGCCTGATTTGGGTTCTTTCCCTTTCTGTTTTTGAAAGGGAGTGTCTTTCCACAGTCTTGACTGTCTTTGAACTCATTCTATAGACCAAGCTGGCTGAAAAACATAGAGATCTGCCTACCTCTGCCTTTTGAGGCCTGGTATCAAATGTTTGACTTCTTAAATCCTTAGGGAGACAATAGTAAAATGATTGGCAAGGGCAGGAATAAGACATACTGAAAAAATATACTTTTTTTTTTTTTTTGGTTTGGTTTTTCGAGACAGGGTTTCTCTGTGTAGCTAAAAAAAGAATATTTTTTTAGCTTTTTTTGGTTTGGTTTTTCGAGACAGGGTTTCTCTGTATAGCTTTGCGCCTTTCCTGGAACTCGCTTTGTAGACCAGGCCAGCTTCGAACTCACAGAGATCCGCCTGGCTCTGCCTCCCGAGTGCTGGGATTAAAGGCGTGCGCCACCACTGCCCAGCGAAAAAATATTCTTAAATTAGTGGAATGTAGGTGGTAGGCCCTATGTACTCTAGCACTCAGAGCCTGAGGGGATGTAATCAAGAGTCCTCTGGCCTGGGCTGTATACTGAGTTTCACCACAGCATGAGGAGATGGAAGAAAACAAGAGGGAGACATAAAGACATTTCTCTCCACCTTTGAATTTGGCTGGATTTTTCTCTTGCCCCCTGCCCAAAGCAGAGCAAGATTTTTCTCAGGGTCTCTGTGTCTCCATACATGTATATATATTTACTTCATTGGTTTGTTTTTATTTTTTTGTTTTTATTTTAAGACCTTCTTGCTGCAGAGTCAGGCTAGCCTTGAACCTACATCCCTTTCACCTCATCGTGGCTTTTCTCACATAGTAAACAGTGCAGCTTAATATTGCACCTTGTAATAAATAACACTGAGATTCTGAGGTGGATGTTACTCATGTTTTGTTGTATCAGGGCATGGGGGTTCATGTCTCTAATCTCTGCATTCCCAGAGTATAAAACTTGGGGGGCTAACCTGCTCTACATCAATAATTCTATGCCTGAAAAAACTACCTAGTGAGATCATATCACAACTTAATAATAATAATAACAACATAATTATAATAGTACTAGTAATAATAATAATAATAAAGTCTGTTATTTAAAATAATGTTAAAGACAAACTTTCAATATCATTTATAAGACTAATAATGTGGTTACTGTGATTAAAAAGAAATTCATGAACCAGGCCTGATGTCGTAGTCTATGGCTTTGATCACAGTAGTCTAAAGGCAGAGGCTGACTCAACTCTGGGAGTCTGAGTTAACTTGGTCCATAGAGCACCTTCTAAGAGAGTGACAAGTTGTCAAAAAGAAAAAAGAATTAAAGAAACGAAGAAAAATGCATGAACCAAATTACCACTTGAATTCCTGCTAAAGTATTTCAGATGCCAAAGCTTTAGAGAATGAACTGGTCTTTCAGAGCTTTTCATCATCTTTAAGAAAGTAATTGTGATAGAATGGAGAAATGGTTCAGCAGTAAAAGGTGTTAGATATTTTCCAGAAGACTGGCATCCAATTCACTGTATGCTCAAGGCAGTTGACAACAGTCGGTAACTCCAGTTATCCAGGGGACCCAACAGCCTCTTCTGGCCTCGGAGGGCACCATATGCTCATGGTGCACAGACCCACCTATGTAACAGGGCCCAGACTTTAGCGAGCCCCCATACCTAAGTACAACTGTCTCCATGAAGGAAGTACCATTCAGGGTGTAAAACCCAACACTTGTGTAAAAAACAGCAACCCCTGCCAAAAATAAAACAAAGGCTTAGTCCACCAAAGTCCATAGTTCTCAGAATACCTCAAAGTGTTCAAACCTTGCTTGAAATACAGTAACATTTTGGCTTCTGTGGTGCCACTTCTGGCTAACTGTTCTTGTTAACTGAAGTTTGTGAACCCAGAATATGGTTTTTGTGCTTAAAAGCTCACCCTGAGAAAGGCTGGTTGCTGCACTGGAATCCCGAACACCTCATGTAGTTCTGCCAGCTGGCTAATAGATTTTCTATTGGCTTAAATCCAGTTCAATCTCTCTCTCTCTCTCTCTCTCTCTCTCTCTCTCTCTCTCTCTCTCTCTCTCTCTCTCTCTCTCTCTCTCTGCCTGTGTGTTTACATTTGTGTGTGTTTCTATGTCTTTCTATGTCTCTCTCTCTGCCTGTGTGTTTACATTTGTGTGTGTTTCTATGTCTTTCTATGTATTTCTGTCAGTTTTGTTTTCCTTTAAGGACCAGTGGCTTTTTCTGGTATGAGGACACTCCTGCCGATTAAGATTTGTGCCTCTTCCTGTTGAGGACCTGAATCCTTTTGGCTGTGCCAAGTCCCCCAGAGAACCACCTACCCGAAATAAAAGTTCTACCTACCCCATTCCTGGATGAGAGGTTATATGAACAGAGCCTGTAAATTGAGCCCCAGGCGGTTCTCAGTTTCCACATGGGAAGCTGCTCTCAATCTCCAGGAGCAAGTTCATGGGAGCTCTGGGCTGGCAAGGTAAAGCATTTGCTTTGCTAATGAGGGGTCTTGCAGGAATTGCCTACCTTCATTTCAAATTATACATTTGAGGGAAGCGGTACCTGCCACTCTGACCCTAAACCCAGGTAGAGAATAGTCACTGGGGCTACTAGTTAGCCACCTGCGAAAGGATCCTAACTGAGGAACCAAAAATTCAGAGGTCAAAACCAGTTGATTGCCAGGCAGTGGTGGCACATGCCTTTAATCCCAGCACTTGGGAAGCAGAGCCAGGCGGATCTCTGTGAGTTCAAGGCCAGCCTGGTCTACAGAGCGAGATCCAGAACGGGCACCAAAACTACACAGAGAAACCCTATCTCGAACAAGAAAAAAAAAAAAAACAGTTGATTGATTTATCCTGTATTGAGGGGTGAGCAGAATTGGATCCAGACTTTCAGGAGAGCTAGGCTGGGAATTGCTTAGTAGATTGAATCACTGAAGTTATTTTCCTGTTCTCTAGGCTTAGTGAGTTCCTCCAAACATGATGACCTGGAGAAGGATGATAGATGTGGGGAGCATTTTACAAATCCCATTTCAAAGGGGATCGGTCTCAAAACCCATACTTCAGGAACTGTTGAATATATTCTTCTGGAAACCAGAATACTCTCTCACTTTTAAGGCCCTGCAGAATAAGCATGGAAGTTCAAAGTTTGAGGAGGACAGAACTCACAAGTTAAAAATGTAAAATACAAGGTATTGAGAAGCTGCATCTAAACAGTCAACATGACTGAATTGAGAAGTATTTAGGATCTGCATATAGCACAATAAACAAAATATACTTGTGATGGTTACTCTTGGTTCCCAACTTAATTAGACATGGAATAACAAAAATTCGAACATGGAGGGCAAACCTGTGAGAAAGTTTTTTTTCTTAAATTGAAGTAGGTAGATCCACTTCCAATATGAATTTGGAGGTAGAAAGACACTAACATTTAACCCTGATTTCAAGGTCTGAACACACACACCTTTAATCCAGTCTTGAGTTTGGGAAACACACCCTAGATTGGGCCACACCCTTTGCTGGAAGCATATAAAAGGACAGGAAGGAAGGAAGCTCTTTCTCTTTGCCTGCTTGCCCTCACCTTGCAGCAAGTCCATTCCTTCCCTGGCATTAGAGAATTTTTCTTCAGAATTCCAGCATCTACTGAAGACCAGAGGACACATCCATCCTCCTGGACTGAGTAAGTACTGGATTCTCGGACTTTCTCTTCACAGCTAGCCATTGTGGGATTAGCAGGACTGCAGCCCTAAGTCATTCTAATAAATCCCCTTTGTTCATCCAGAGAGATTTCCTTGTATATATTCTGCAACATTTTTAATATGAATGAATAAACTCATCCAAACTATTCAACACTTGTTTATAAATGTCAAAATTAGTTTCCTATTGACCTAAGATTCAATCTAGAAAAAAAATGGAGTGATGTAACAGTCCCTAGTAGCCCAGACTGTCTTCTCTGAAACTAATATTGAAATCTGGATAGAAAATTTCAGAGACACAAGTTTCCAGACCCATTGAAAAAGGAACATAGGGGAAAATAGAAATTAAAAATCTAAAAAATATCTGTAATTGTGACTCCTAGGTTGAAGCAGAAAAAAACAAATCTCAGTTCTTCATTTTGGATCAGCTTTAACTTTCAAACCACCTCAAGCAGATATATCAGGGGACCTTGTAGCCGAGAGCTGGGGATTCACAAAGATCAGCGTCCAGAAATTCTCCTGCAAGTGGACCATTAGCAACTTCTGTTTCTGCTTGGAGGGAATGTCGGAAGTCATTGAAAGTTCCACTTTCTCACCAGGAGCCAATGACAAATGGTATTTGAGAATATACCCGAATGGATCCCATATGGAAAGCAAAGATTACCTCTCAGTTTACCTACAGTTGCTCAGCTGTCCAAAGATTCAGTTTGGGCAAAGTTCCAGTTCTGGATCATAAGTGCCAAAGGAGAGAAAACACAAACTATGAGGAGCCCAAGAGTCACTAGGTTCAGGCAATTCTTTTTTTTTTTATCAATATACAAAAATCCTTTAAACAAGAGTAGAAATATATATACAATGTTTTGTAACAAAAATTACCTTAAATTTTTATCAATATATAAAAGTCCTTACAAATACAAAATATTTTAGATTAATAGTTTTTTTAGTTTAAAATGGATTCAATAATTTACAATATTATCTTATCATTGCTATATTCCCCTAAATGATAACAAACATCCATTACCCACCAAATAACCAAAGACCACCCACACCCCCCAACTCTTGAGAATGTGGGCATCATTTTCTCTAGACTGCTTTCTGCTATCTGTGGATGAAGCATCTTTAGAGTCCCAGAGAGAAAATTTGAGATAATGACCAAGTCCTGGTAAGGCCAGTAGTAACCTTTGTTGATAGATATCACCTGCCAAGATTCAGGAGGTCTTCGATGGAGGAAGATACCATGATAAATGAGGTCATCATGGGAATAGGAAGAGACAGGGTGCTGGGGAGGCTCTCAGGAATCCACAAGGTTGACCCCACCTTGGTCTGCTGGCAGTGGTCCAGAGGGTGCCTGGACTGGTCTACTTTGGTGACCAGCCTAGCAAATAACCTAGCTGTTATCATAGAGCTTTTGTCCAGTGACAGATGGAGGCAGATACAGAGATCCACGGCCAGGCACCAGGCTGAGTTCCAGGAATCCAATTGATGAGAGAGAGGAGAGATACTGCAGGTGAGGGACGTCGAGATCATGATGGGAGAACGTGCAGAGATGACCAGCCACACCAGTGGAAGCCATGAACTGTGGACTGGTGGGTGTGGAGCCCCCATGGGACTGGACTAGGCCCTCTGGACACAGAAGACAGTTGTTTGGCTCGAACTGTTTGGGGGGCACCCAGGCAGGGGGATCGAGATCTGTCCCTGGTGCATGGGCAGGCTTCTGGGAATTCGGGCAATTCTTCTGAAATGGATTCAAAAAGTTCATCCTTCAAGATTTCCTCTTGTCTCATGCACAGCAGCTTCTTCCAGGTGACCAGCTCACCCTCCTCTGCCAGGTGAGCGTGGTCCAGAACTCGTCCTTCAACATCTCTGATCAGAGCATGAAGCCAGGGATCCAGGTTCCTAGATGCACATTGGCAGATGAGCTAGGAGAGCTGTGGGAAAATTCCCGATTCACAGACTGCTGCCTGGTGGTATCTGGCCAGGAATTTCAGGCTCACAAGGCCATCTTAGCAGCTCGCTCTCCAGTTTTCAGAGCCATGTTTCAACATGACATGGGGGAGAGCAGAAAGAATCGCGTTGAGATCCCTGACCTGGAGCCACAAGTCTTCAAGGCAATGATGGGCTTCATTTATACCGGAAAAACACCAGACCTCGACAGCATGGCAGATGTTCTGCTGGCAGCTGCTGACAGGTATGGCCTGGAGCGTTTGAAGGTCATGTGTGAGGATGCCCTCTGCAGGGACCTTTCTGTGGAGAATGCTGCCCACACTCTCTCCCTGGCTGACCTCCATAGAGCAGGGCAGCTGAAAACCCAGGCACTGGATTTCATTACAGCACATGCTTCTGAGGTCTCTGAGACCTCAGGCTGGAAGATAATGGTGGAGTCATATCCCCACTTGGTGGCTGAAGCATATGGCTTCCTGGCTTATTCAAGAGGCCCTCTCCTGGAGCTTCCTCTCAATCCTCTGAAGAGAGCTTAGGACCCTGGTTAGCTCTGGCCTCCTCTTATGTTCCAGAAGCACCAGCCAGTTGTTATAAATGACTCCTGGGTAGAAAGAGATCTGTGGAGCATTTACAGTGAATCTGGGGAAATGAATCAGGGTGGCTCCTGTTTTAATACAGCTGTATGTAAGTTAGAATGCTGGAGGGACATGCTTGACTCTGCTATACTTTAGCTAAAGTAGACAAAATCTTACCCAAATTAAATATAACATGTGTTGTATGATATTTTGTTTGTTTTCTGACAAATAGAGCTTGCCTGGACATCAGAGGGCAAACCTAACCACTAGATAACAACAGAGATCAGACAGTGGTGGCACACACCTTTAATCCCAGCACTTGGGAGGAAGCAGGAAGATTAGGAGTTGAAGGCCACCCTGGGCTACACGAGATTGATCCAGTCTAAAAAAGAAACAGAGCCTATTGGTGGTGGTACCCACCTTTAATCCTAGCACAAGGGAGGTAGAGACAGGAATATCAGGTGGATAAAGACAGAATCTGGAACCGCATTAGGTCAGAGGATCCAGAGAAATAAGAACTCACTGGTGGCTGCTCCTCTGATCTTTCAGCTTTCACCCTCAATATCCAGTTTTTATTTTTAAGACTAATTAGGTTTTCTTCTTCTTCTTTTTTATTTTTTTTTCTGAGACAGGGTTTCTCTGTGTAGCCTTGCGCCTTTTGTGGAACTCACTCGGTAGCCCAGGCTGGCCTCGAACTCATAGAGATCCACCTGCCTCTGCCTCCCGAGTGCTGGGATTAAAGGCGTGCACCACCACCGCCCAGCTTTTTTAATAACTTTTTTGGGGGAGGGGGTTTTGTTGTTGTTGTTTTTGTTTTTTGTTTTTCAAGACAGGGTTTCTCTGTATAGCTTTGCACCTTTCCTTGAATTCACTTTGTAGACCATGCTGGCCTCGAACTCACAGAGATCTGCCTGCCTCTGCCTCCCAAGTGCTGGGATTAAAGGCGTGCACCACCACCACCCGGCAAGACTAATTAGGATCTCACTTCAAACATGAATAAAAAATTTTAAATCAGCTTATGGATTCCAGTAGTGTTTCTGTTTAAACTTGGGTCTCTGAAATTAAATAAAGAACATTTCACCCAAACACAAAAGAATATACCTTCTTCTCAGCACCTCATGGAACTTTCTCTAAAACTGACCACATAGCAACACAATCAAGCTGCAATCCACAGGCCCAGAGAAGCTAAGTAACAAGGAGGGCTCTAGGGCAAATGCATGGATGTCCCTGGGAAGTGTAAATAGAATAGAGTTTGCAGGTGGACTGGGGACAGGTGGGGATGGAAACAGGAGAGATCAGGTGGGAGTGGGAGGGATGGAGGGAAAGAATACTGGGAGAAACAACTGGAACTTGGGAGTACTTGGGGGAGACAATGTGGAAACCTAGTGCAGTGGAAAATTCATGAAACCCATGAAGGACTGCTAGTGATGGAGGATAAGAAGCCTGAACTGGCCATCTTCTGTAATCAAACAAGGTTTCCAGTGGTGAGACTGGGACACCAATCCAGGCACAAAACCTACGATCTTCAACATGTCCTCCTGAAAGATATGCTGGGGCAATGGTAGCTCAGAGCTTGTGGGAGTCACCAAAAACTGACTGGTCTAACTTGAGGCCCAAACCAAGAGGGAGCCCATGTCCTGGATGGTCAGGAACCAGAAGCTGCATGGCACAGAGACCTAAGGTAGAATCAAACGTGATTGAAAAAGAAAAGGTTAATGAAATGATTCTTTTTTTTTTTTTTTTTTTTTTTTTTGGTTTTTCGAGACAGGGTTTCTCTGTGTAGCTTTGCGCCTTTCCTGGAACTCACTTGGTAGTCCAGGCTGGCCTCGAACTCACAGAGATCCGCCTGGCTCTGCCTCCCGAGTGCTGGGATTAAAGGCGTGTGCCACCACCGCCCGGCCCTGTTTGCCAGTATTTTATTGAGTATTTTTGCATCAATGTTCATGAGGTAGATCGGTCTGTAGTTCTCTTTCTTTGTTGTATCCTTGTTTGGTTTAGGAATTAGGGTAATTGTAGACACTTTCACTTCAGTTTCAATGTATATTTGTACACGCTGTAACAAAGAAAGAAATGATCCAAGGAAGGTTGAGCTGGGGAAAATGTACATAAACACCAGTAAGCACACACTAAATATGAACAGAGCAGTCGTTTCCCAGATCTTTCTCAGGACAGACCGATGTAAACACAATTGGCTGGCACACAGCATAGATTATATCTGGGAAAGCACAACAGCAAGGCAGGTCTTGTCCAGATTTGGGTTGCACTGATAAGGTGTTTTTTTTTTCTGCCGATAAGCCTTTCCACCAACGCAGCAATCCAAATCAGACCAAATTAGACTGAATTAGAAAAGCCCCGGTTTAATGGGTAAAGCGTTCCTGGGTGATTCTCCAGTCCCTCAGAGAGGAGATGGGGATGAAAGACTGGAAAACCATGTGTCTGTTTTCTGGGATGCAGCTTAAATACCCTGTGGGAGTGGTCGTGAGCCTCTCTGGGGGAGGAGCTGCGTCTGGTGGGCTTTGAAGGGGTGGGTTTGGGGAAAGAGATGGGGGAGGGGAGTTGAGGTGGATCTTCCACCAGAACATTCCAGACTCTTTGGGTATATAGATGCCAGGGTGCCAGGGGCTGAGGTGGAGCTTCCACCAAAACAAGGACAGCATTCAGCATATCCATTCACGAGATTAGGTCCTATAACTATGTGCTGACATCCAACAAAAATAAACATGACTTATAAACTGAATGTAAATATTTGTCACAGAAGGCATGAAATCATGTCCAAGAACAATCCAGGGAACAAAATACAATTGAGGAAAAGGCCCTCTGCCTTTTTCCCTGGAGCCTCTCTCACAGTTCCCCAAGGCATTGCTCACCATAGATCATTCTTTTGACAGTGTTCCGACCTTCCTCCTCTCCATGGTGAGGAGTTCACTCTTTCTTGTAAACAGGTTCAGTGGCTGAGTGTCTGCCTCTCCTCACCTGCCCTCCTTCTCCTGAGTCTTCTTCATTTCCTGCTCATACTAATTTCCAAATCAGCCTGGAGCAGTAGAGTTAGAGGTGAACCCCAGCCAAAGAGGAACAGCCAAGCTCCCTCTTGATTTAGGCATCAAAGGTTAAAGACAACATGTCCATGTGCGTGTGGTAGGCAGGTTTGGGTCAAATCACACTCATCTGGCAGAAAGAAATCACTTTCCCTGGTTACTTTTGCTATGTTTGCAAGTTGCTTTATGGGAGCTTGAGATTACTTGTTTCCAACATCTGTACTTACAACAAAATCAAGATGCAGAAAGATAAAATATAAAATTCCCAGCTCAGATTGTCCTGCTCTTTCCATGTGCCTTATTCTTGAGGAGGAGACTGCCCAGTTACTCTATATGAGCCCCTCTTTCTACAAGCAGCAATTCCTAAGCATCCGTTTAATCTTTTAGAAATTATAAATAATTACTGTTTTGGAGTAATAAATAGAAGGAAATGGAAAATAAAAAATTAACTCCAAATTATCTTGTCTTAAAAAGGACCATGGACCCCAGAGACAACTTAGTCTCTGACATCTGAACTTATTGTATATGTCTAAGGGCTGGAATTAAACACATAGTTTAATGATTTTTTTTATTTCTTTATCACTTATTTTCTTCTTGGCATACTTAGTCATTTATGTATTTGAGGGGGGCTTTCCTGTAGTCCACGCTGCCCTCTCACTCACTCTGAAGTCCAGGCTGGCCTTGAACTCCTAGCCTTCCTATCTCTACTTCTGGAGTGCTGAGGTCTTAAGACAAGGTTATCTTGTATTATCTGGGTGGCTAATGACATCACAGGAGTACTTACTTATAAAGGGGGAAGAAAATGCAAAGTAGCAGAGAAAGAATGACCGTAGAGAGGCTTTCATGAGGCCAGCCTGGAGCCCAAACCAGGTGGTGTGGCGCCATCTATAGGCTGAAAAAGGCTACAGCCTCCAGTGTACTGTTGATGGCTTTTTTGTCCTGTACACTAATGCATTATGAAGAAGCACTCAGCTTGTCTGCTCCGCCGCAGCAGAATTAGAAAACTAATGTGTGCTCTTTTGCCTTATCCTGTTCAAATGCAGTTTGGTGAGAATATATTAATCAAAATAGTCAACAAATTCTGTGACTTTTTCTTTGTATCTAGACATTGATATCACAATAGCATTTCCAAAGAAATCAAAGCAATTGCTTCAAAAATGAAAATAAAGTATGGGTTAGACAGTCTGGTTTTAGTGACTTCAACGTCAGAGTTACACCCAAGGACACACAAAAGGGGCAATTAAGGACGGCAAGAGTCTACGGTTGCCTCTAACTCAGCTGCACACGAGCTCGTAAATGCTCACAGTTGTCAGGAGACTGCTCAGCACAGTGGAGGCCCACTTCATCTGTAGACATCTGCACAACTCTCAGTAGTAACATCTGCATAGCTCTCAGTAGTAACAGGAGCCATAGACATCAACTCAGTCTGCAGGGCCACAGGACCCAGACATGGCCCTAGGCAGCATTTTGGACCCAGACAACACCATCATGACCCTATGTAGCAGTACAGGCCATCCAGGCCAGCATGACCCCAAAGCCCTCAGACCCCAACATGGCCACAAGTTGCTGCCTAGACCCTAGGCATCTGTGTGACTTTTGGTGGTACCATGAGCCATGTACATCAACACAGACCCCTGACTGTGGTAGACCCAGACATGGTGCATGGCAGCAGCCCTGGCCAAATGTCACTACAGTCCCAGGTGGCAGCACAGCCACTCATATAGGCATGGCCCCCATGGCAGCATGGCCCTCAGACACCAACATGGCCCCAAGTGGAGGCCCAGACCCCAAGTATCAGTGTGGCCTTCAGTCATATCAGGAGTCACAGACATCAACACATCCCTAGCTGCAGTAGGGCCATAGACCAGACATAGCCCTCAGCCGCAGCCTGGTCCCCAACATCACTATGGTATCTGTGACAGTGCAGGACACTCAGATCTGGTCTGGCCCTGGCTGCAGCATGACCCTCAGACCCCCACCTGGCCTCAGGTGATGGTTCAGACCCCAGGTATTTGCACAGCTTTCAGTGATATCAGGAGTTACAGGCATCAACACAGACCTTGGCTGCTGTAGGGCCACGACCCAGACATGCCCCAAGTGGCAGCACAGGACACCCAGATTGGCATGGTCCCTACAGCAACAAAGCTCTCAGATGCCAGCATGGACTCATATGTCTGACCAGACCCCTGTCTTCCACAGGGCCTTCAGTGGTTACTGAAGCCATGGACATCAACACAGACCCTGGCTGCTGCAGGGCCATAAACCAAGACATGGCCCCCAGCAGCAGCTCAGGACTGTATTTCATCATGTCCCTCAGG